ATTGATCATAGCTTTCTGGATTCCTATATTGAAAAAATTTTAAACTATAGGTTCATTAAGAAAATGATCAATTACTGATAGTAGCCATAAAGAAGCAGGGAAGCACAAGCTATGTTGACATAAGTAAATGCATATTATGTACAATGATGGTCTTCTATGGGATAAAAGGACATCTAAATACTTCGGTTTTTCACTTGTAGTTAGGGGACAGTCTTTCCACAGAAACACTGCAAGAAAGGAAACTCACCTTTTCTTCCAGGTCATAACTTTCAAAGGATTATACCATCCAACAACATTCAAGAAATATTTATTAATACCTTTGTAGCAACCATTCTTTGAGGCACTGCATACATAAAAACAGTCTACAAATCCAGCAAACCAGAGGCAAATGAGCAATCAGAAAACCTTAAGTCCTATGGGAGTACACACTATTGACAGTGGGTAAGGAACAGGAAGGGTAGAAAGAACATGAGTATTCTAGAAGAGGAAACAGCAAATGCAAAGACCTGAAAGCAAGAAAATGGATAATTTGAGGAAATGAAATTCAGACAATCATCACAAAGGAATGTTGTTGTGATGACTAGTGAAGGGTACAGGGTAAGGATGGCAGAAAACAATGCTGAAAATACAATAAGTGAATCAGTTCACAAAAGACCTACAGAACTTCATATGCAGCAGCTCTCCTAAATTCACTTATTAATTCTAACAGTTTGTAGATCCCATTTCATTTTCTATATGCACAATCATTTAATCAATGAATAAAGACAATTTTACATCTTTCATTCTAATCTTTTATTTTACTTCTCTTGCCTTATTGTAATGGGTAGGAACTGCAGTAAAAAAAAGTTGGTTACTGAAGCCATCCTGTACTCAGCAGAAAAGCATTAGCTATATCACCACTGAGTATGATACTTAATGTAGATTTTTGAAATAAATAATCATTACATATCCAAGAGTTTTCTTTCTATTCCTCATTTGCTGAAACTATTATAAATGGCTACTGAATTTTGGCAAAGGTTTTTTTCTACTTCTATTGAGATGATCATACAGGTATTCTCCTTCACAACAATATGGTAAATTACACTGATTAATTTTTCAAATGTTAATCAACCTTGTATTCCTAGAATAAATTTCACTTCATCTTGATATATAATTCTTTTTATATATCACTGGATTCTATTTGCTGATATTTATGTGCAAATTATACCAAGAAAGAAGGAAGGGAAGAAGGGTGGGAAGGGAAAGGAGGGAAAGTGAAAGGAGGGGGAACATGGAAGGTCTTGGGTATGAGAAATTGAGGATAAGAAAAGCATGACACCCTGGGATCAGTGGCTCAGCCTGTAATCCCAGCACTTTGGGAGGCCAAGGTGAGTGGATTGCCTGAGCCCGGGGGTTCAAGACCCATCTGGGCAACTTGACGAGACCTCATCTCTACAATAAATCAAAAAAATTAGCCGGGTGTGATAGCACACGCCCATAGTTCCAGCTACTCGGAAGGCTGAGGCGGAACGATCGCCGAAGTCCAGCAGGTCGAGGCTGCGGTGGCCAGGAGCGGCCACTGCACTCCAGTCTGGGTGACAGAGTGAGACTCCAACTCAAAAAAAAAAAAAGAAAAGCATGACAGCAGAAAAAAATATTCAATAGAAGCATTAGTAAGCTACACTGAAACTATCTCCCATGAAGAATAAGAAAGAAATGATTTTGTGTGTGTGTGTGTGTGTGTGTGAACTGGAGTCTCACTCTGTCACCCAGGCTGGAATGCTCCAGTCGCATACTCATGGCCACACCAGCGTCGACCTGCTGGGCTCAAGTGATCCTTCCACCTCAGCCTTCCAAGTAGCCAGAACTACAGGCATGCGCTACCATGCACAGCTAATTTTTTTATTTATTGTAGAGACAAGGTCTTGCCTAGTTGTCCAGACTGGTCTCGAACCCGTGGACTCAGGCAATCTACTTGCCTTGGCCTCTCAAAGGGATTACAGGTTGAGCCACCGAGCACAGCCAACAACTGATTTTTTTTTAATTAACCAGAAGGTCAGGGGCAGTGGCTCACACCTATAATCCTAGCACTTTGGGAGGCCTAGGTGAGAGGATTGCCTGAGCCCATGAGTTTAAGATCAGCCTAGGCAACTTGGTGAGATCTCATCTCTACAATAAAAATTAAAAACTTAGCTGGGCATAGTGTGCATGCTTGTAGTTCCAGTTACTTGGAAGACTGAGGCAGAGGATCACCTGAGCCCAGCAGGTCAAGGGTACGGTGGCCATCAGCATGCCACTGCACTCCAGCCTGGGTGACAGAGAGAGATTCTGACTCAAAAAAAATAAAATAAAATAAAAATTTAAAAATTAACCAGTACAAGGGATTTAATACCCAGGTAATAAAAGTTATAGGAATAGAGAAAAAAGAAAATTTAATGGAAGAAACCAACAATTAAAATTGAAGAAATTTTCTCAAAATTATAAGACTTGCATTTCCATATTAAAGGGGCCCAGGAAAAAGTATGAATCAAGAAACAAGACTGCAAAATTTCAGAACACGGGGAACAAAGCCAACATTCTATGAGTTCACAGAAACAAAAGCAAGCCTCATACAAAAAAAAAGGATGTCAAAATGACCTCAGATTCAACATAACACTAAACCAATGCCTTCAAAATTCTGAGGGAATATTATTATAGACAAGTATTTGTTACCCAGCCAAACTATCTATCAAGAGTTAAGGAAGAATAAAAACTTCTTTAGACAGACAGTATCTCCCACACATCCTTTATAAGGAAGCTACTTCTTCCACCATGATGAAGGAATAAAGCAAAATGGGTAAAAGAGAACAGTGGGGTATTACAACTTTATATTACAAGTTTCATGTGATCAGCGGCAAGTACAACTTTTGCCGGGCTCAGTGGCTTAGCCTGTAATCCCGCGCCTTTGGGAGGCTGAGGTGAATGGATTGCCTGAGCCCACGGGTTCGAGACCCACCTGGGCAGGGAGACCTCATCTCTACAATAAATCAAAAATCAGCTGGGCGTGGTAGCACATGCCTGTAATTCCGACTACTCGGAAGGCTGAGGCGAAAGGATCGCCGGAGCCCAGCAGGCAAGGCTGCGGTGGCCGAGAGCGGCCACTGCACTCCATTCTGGGCGACCGAGTGAGACTCCAACTCAAAAAAAAAAAAAAACTTTGAAAAGAAAGTCTTAACGTCTGGTCCAAAGGTAGTGAGTTATTTCAATTGATTATTCACAGTCAGTTACAGAACAAACTCCCAGTTCTACCCTTTCCGTCCTTCTCACTATTGCACTTGACTAATCTTTTTTTAAAAATTCTAAAAAATTCAATCATATACAATAAAAGCTACACACAGTAATCTGTTCAAATCATAAAAGAAAACTTACTCATATAAAATTACATTTTAAATCTAACATATTTTTAAATAAGTATATTATAGTGGAGAAAAAAGTCTTTTTAAATAGAAAAGAAATCTTTTTTTAAATAGGAAAGTAAATGAAACCTACTTCTAAATAAAATACTTACTAATAATATTAATTAGATGGTTTGATGAAGCATTTCTGCCTCAACAATTCAGAAAAGTTGAACATTAATAACAGGCATAAACAAAAGAACTTCATAAGTAAAACAAAGAGGGAAAAATCTGGCTCTGTGAATTACATGCAAAAGAAACAAAGACATAGCAGTATCCTTTAGTAATAAGTTTCTTTTGATTCGAACCTTTCAAAGAGAAAGCTGACTATCCCAAAAATCTTCTAGAAAAAGATGGTCTAGAATCTTCATTGTCAAAATATTTCACCAAAATGAAAAACCACAAAAACAACAACAACAACAAAACAGAATGAGAGAGAGCAATACCGAGAGAGAGAGAGACACAGAGAGAGAGAGAGAGAGAGAGAGAGAGAGAGCTGAAATCTGTATATGTCACATAGCTAAACAGCAAGGGAGAAAATCTCCATGTGACTCCATGATATTGTTGTCTTGTTTTCTCCGCCCTACCCATTTCATTTAAGCAGATTTAATCACTAAATGAATCCCTAAAATTACTCAAACACAATCACACTATCATAAGTTTAGTAAACATCACTCTCACAAATTTAGAGAATTAACTGCTAAATGAAGTCTTATAAGATTTTTTCCACTTCAGGATAACCTTTAAAAACAAAACAGAATTAAAATACTTTAATTTCTTCTTTTAAAAAAGTTTTAATGTATCCAAACATGATTAATACGGTTGTGTTTTTAGTGCACATGCAAAAACATTCTTGAATGAACACAGGAAAGTTAATGAAAAAATACAAGCGCAAAGTACTAAGGCACCAGGAGTTATTTAGCCATCTAAATGGCAGATCTAACACAAACACATATTTGATATTTTAAATATATATATATATATATAAAACATTTATTATTTAAACACAACACTATGAAATATTCTCTATTAAAACAAAGTTGCAGGGTTAAAAGCCCAAGACTCCACTTCTGACATGGAGATGCAGAAGCAGAATCATCTACAATTGAGATAATAGTGAAAACCAAGCTCTCCTACGCAGTTAAGTATAACTAAGAAGAAGGGGAAAGGCATGAGAACAACAGAGACTTGAGGAATACCCACAGAAGAAAGCTAAGCCAGAAATACAACAAAGGCAGCACAGTCAGCAAGGAAGGGATCTGGGAAGAAGGATGCCATGAAAACCAAGAGAGAAAAGGGCTTCAAGAAAGAGCCAGCAAAGGCAGAGGCTAAATTGAGATCAAAGAGAATGAGGATAAATCAAAACCACAGCAGAAAGTGAATGGCCATATTGAATTGGTTAAGATTACCTATTTCCATCTCAACTGACAGAACTAAGAGTTTATCTTGGTGGGGAGGAGGGGAAGGAGAATGGACACTTGGAGGAAAACAGACTTTAGTTATCATTCTTGCTGTCTGTAGTCCAAGACCAACAAAAGAGTAACTCTTTCTGAATGATTTGTTTTTTTTCTTGAGGGTTACACTCACCAAACTGAGGAGCAGGCAAGATTCTAGCTGCTCGAATTGGGCCATGCCGAACAGAGAAGAGCTCCTGTGCTTCCCCACTGATCTGCATAAGAGAACACAGACAAAAAACTCAGAGAATGAAAACACAGGTCACAACATTATTATATGAAAATAAGAATTCCTAAATTTTAATCATAATTTTTTGTCTGAAATATACATACGTATGTATACACCCACATAAATGTATGGCTAGTCATACATGTAAAGTATATTCACATCTTAAAATACCACAAGCAATTTTAGAAAATTACAAGAGCACAAACTTGATACAAAAAGATCTATTCTAGAAGCCAAAAATTTTTATCTTAGTAAACAATTAGAAATTCGTACGGTTCCTGCACAACTCACTTGCATTTTAAAACAAAGCAACTATGATATTATTCTGAAAAGCTCTACTTAAATTTTACAGCAACTTTAAAAATAGGATGTAAATGAGAAAAGGCAATACACATTGCAAAGAACATGTAAGTGAAATATGAATGACAGGTACCAGTTATGGTTCTGCAACTAATTATCTGCTAACTTTGTGTAAATCATTCTACTTCAATAAGCCTATATTTGTTAGCAATTATAAAATGAGAAGGAAAAGCTGTTAAAAAGACCTCCAGGATACTGTTAATTTCAATATTCTGTGAACAAAAAGTTAATGTATGCAACTTTAAAAGCAATAATTTTTATTATACACATAGCTCATACACCGTATGAATGTCCATACACTTTGAATGTTTATACACTCAAATTGTATAAAGAGTTTTAAACCAAAGGGTTAAAAGGGTATGTTAATGTGTGTCAAGTGTGAAAACAACTGCTTTTCAACTGTTGGTTGAATTATTGAACAGATTGAATTAGAATTAGTTAAGATTGGCTTTCCAAACTTATGTATGTGGCACTGTAGTTCTCAATATATTTTCATAATTGCCTAGTGTTTGATGGAATATGCAAATCAGAAAAAATGGCAAACATTATAAAACTAGTTCTAAGTACCCAAGAGCTTATAAAAGAGATTAAATAAAGGTAAAAATTCAACAGAGGAAACAAACTGATGGTATTTTTTAATGTCTGTCAAACAGCCAGTTTAAAAATACGAAAACTGTACACATTATAAAATGCATATAAAACTTATGATATTAAACTATAAATCTACAGAGCTACCTTTTAGAGTAACTACTTTTTTAGACTTTGAGCTTCGTCTTCTATCTGAATTAAGAGTTGCAAGCTATGAATACTTTTGCTTCTTATCAATGTTAATTTATGATAATGCCTAAATAGTCATCACATTCATTCTGCTTATGATAATTAATATAACGTGTTTATCAGTTGCAGTGACAAATCCTTCTGTAGCACTTGGAATGTTGGAGATGTGAAGAATGCTGGGACTAACTGTGCAACAATAGCACCACCTATCACCAATGAAGCATACAAAGGCTATAAACTCAGTATAGCAAACTAAGAACTTATCTGCTCTACAAATTTCTTTGTGACCTTTAATATTTAGAATGAAACCAAGGCCATTAAATAGTCTACATTTTATTATTATAGACTAAAATTTAAAATTTAGAAAAAACCTTAAAGGGTTATTTTTTAACATCCCACCCAATGCAGTAATCATATATTCTTTGAAATCTAAAAATTATAATCTCTTTGATTTTAAGCACACATATGGGTAAAGGTATAACACTAATGTAATCTAATTATGTTATAGGTGCATTATTGGCTATTTCCTCTTGTCTAACTTTGAAATTTTAACAACAGTCAAAAGACTAAAAACACTACTGATCCATTTACATTTTGAAAATAAATGATTAGGCAACAGATAAATAATAGTCTTCTCCAATATAGATACTATTTCTACTAATAAGATAATTAAAGGTACATTTTTAAATAATATTGTAGAATTTACACTGAAATTATTATAATTCTGAGTAGTGAAAATTACTTCTCACTTATCAGGTTTATACTTACAACAAATTATGGTATCCTAACACAAAATCTACTGCTCTATGCTATTATTTCCAAATACCAGAAATCTACAATTTAGCTTCTGTTCCTATCAAATAAAGCATTAATGTTAAAATCTAACCACATTTAATTGAGCTGTTGTACTCAATGACACTAAAAAATAAAGAATAAAGCATCTATCTTACATTGATAAAAGTTTGTTATGCTCTATATAATACACACAAGCTTAATGTGTCATAGAAAAACATTTTGAAACCTGAACACACCATGCTTTTCAGCAAACAGCTTTCAAAACAAACCTAAATGCCCTGTTCTAAGCTTCTATTCTTTTTTTTTTTTTTTTTTTTTTGAGTTGGAGTCTCACTCAGTCGCCCAGACTGGAGTGCAGTGGCCGCTCTCGGCCACCGCAGCCTCGACCTGCTGGGCTCCGGCGATCCTTCCGTCTCAGCCTTCCGAGTAGCCGGAATTACAGGCATGCGCTACCACGCCCGGCTGATTTTTTGATTTACTGTAGAGATGAGGTCTCGCTGCCCAGGCGGGTCTTGAACCCGCGGGCTCAGGCAATCCACTCACCTCGGCCTCCCAAAGGCGCGGGATTACAGGCTGAGCCACCGAGCCCGGCTTAAGTTTCTATTCTTAATCCTTCTTTATATGTAAAGTAACAGGTGAGAAAAATAGATTAGGACTGATTATAAAATGCATTCCCACATTCATCACTCATTCTTCATTACCTCTAAGTTAAGGTCCTAGAATCCATGTTCAATTATAATACAGCAGAGAGCAGGAGCAGAAGAAATACTGTCATACCTACAGATACTTGTAAATATATTAAAATCATGATCGTAAAACCTACTGAGATCAGAAGCATAATTCTAAAATATCATATGTGAGTCACAAATGTCAAAGTTCCCAGAGAAGACTCTCCAAATAGTATGTGAAAATTCTACATTAGAGTACCACTTCAAATTAGAAACAGTACTAACAAGGTGTATACAGACAGGATGTGTACATTTTAGAAAGCACACACAGAGGGTGGATATGTCCTCACAGACTGTGCTTTAGCTGTCATTCAAAACTGCTTCTAATAATTTTATACAGTTAAAATTTTGCCTTCAAATAAATCAGTGTCAAACTGATTTTTTTAAAGACTGTCAAAAGTGATTTTTGGGTTTCTTAAAAAAAGAGCTCACTGAAAATGGCAATTTATCACGGAGATGAGGATTTTATAGATCCTGAAAATAACAATACAAAGCTGTAAGATCACTTTTAAATCAACAATAACAATAAACACACGAGTAGAACTACAGGGAAGGAGTGTACCAAGCAGTGTTCCAACATCCTGGCAACTGTGGTAACTTGGGGAGAAGGGCAAACAGGGAGGAAACCCTCTCCAAGAGCTCCTCATGGTCTCTGCCTTTGTTCTTAGTGGCATTTTAATTTCTGATGACAGACTTTTGTTGTTTGGGGCATAAACCGGACGTACCAGTTTGGAGGCACAATAAAGAGAACAAAGAATGATTTGTTCACACTGTAAAAAAAAATCTATTCCAACCATAGAAAATAGCTTTCGCATGGTAAAAATATGCAAATTACATACCAAACCAAAAATGGGGTGGGGGGAGTACAAGTTTAGAATCTCACAACTCAATCTAAGGCAAAAGGAAATTACAACAGCCAAGACAAGACTATACACACAGAAAAGGCTGTAATAGTTCTGGGAAAGCTGTAGAAGCGCTTTTAGAGAACTCCAAAAGCAAATGAAGATCATCTAGACCTCAAAGCAAAAACTGTTTCTGAAATTCTGATAACTTTTCATAAATCATCTGACTATAATATAGAAAATTCAATCAAATGAGAAGGGCAACAAAAATAATGTTCTACAATGCTACAGAATTAGAACAAGAGTACACATTCACACTCCCACTTCTCCCTATGGACACTGAAAAAATAGATTTTTGTGGTCTGCAAAAGATTTTTTTTTTTAGCAAACTACTGAAAGATAACAAAATACATAAATCATAAGTATATGTGTGGCTTAAAGAATTTTCCATGTTAATGCACCTCTCTACCAACAGGCATCAAGAAACAAAATGTTACAGATATCCAGGTGGTCCTGTCACATTCCTTCCCAGTCATAATCCCAACTCAAGAATAGCCACAATACTGGTTCCTATTACCTTACATAAATTCTACTTGTTCATCTGAATGGAAATTGATTCACACACTATGTATTCTTGTCAATGGTTTCTTTCACATACTACTATGCTTATGAAATTAATTCATGTTGCTGTATGAAATTGTAATTTTTTAATTCCTGTTGCTACACAGATTTCCATTGTATGAAAATACTACAATTACATCCATTCTCCAGTCCATGGACCTCTGAGTTTTTCTAGTTTATGTCCCTTAAGATGTCAAGAAAAATCGGGAAAGATTTTTAAATGGAAAAATGATTACTTTTGTTTTTTCAATGAATTGCCAAGAGTTCTCTAGTAAACTCCATAGGATCATGTGATTTAATAGAGATAGAAAACTCTGTCTTTGGGCTATTTTACAATACTCTGAGTTGTAAAAAACTGACAGTAATGCAATTGATTCTTATGCACAGAAATACAAATGAATTTTGTCTGGAAAAGATACAACTGAATTCTACTCTGTAGAAAATATCATTTCAGACTACACACTTTAGTGCTGATAGGACATTACCCAGGTTTGCATGTTTCAGCAAATTCATTTCAGTATTTCTAATTGCCTATATGTGATCTTCACGTTTGAATCAGCTGTAATAACTTCCCAAATACCTCATTAATGAATAACTCAAATAAAAACTAGGACACTGCCCATTATATAAAAGCAAATGAAGATCATCTAACCATCAGAGCCAAACTTGTTTCTGAAATCCTGATAGACTATCTGACTATAACATAGAAAATATAAATACCAAAGAGAATCATCATTTTGCCATTGTATCAGAATCATTATTTTACCATTTTGAAAATAACACCATAAAGAATAGTGCCATGATTGTTTTCACAAGTGTCTTTTAGTAACCATGTATATGTATTTTTTAAGAATATATAGCTA